CGGCCGGCTGCTCCTGTCCCTCAGGTGGCCCTGCCCTGTAGGAGAGGCCCCGCGTCCCTCCTCTCAGCCCAACTGCCTGCCAGGGCGCGCGTCTACTCACATGGGTGTGCTCTCCTCGGCATGGTGGCCAGGGGGCCGGACCACAGCAAAGCCATTCTGCGGGTGACAGTGGTGGGACAGAGTGACCAAGATGTGTTACACCCAAGAGGTGGCCACAAACCGACTTTCAGAACCACAGTAGGACCCGGTCTTCCCAGGAACCTGGGCCCCACAGACACAGGGCGGTATGAAGGGCCAGCAGAGCCTTCAAAGGCGGCAAGGACCCTCCTTTTTAAAGAGACCGACTGGTTATTAGAAGTTCCTGGTGAAATCAGCCGACATGGCCTGGGGCCGTCCGTGGGAGGGCACTCCTGGCCCCCCTGCACCCGGCCAGGGGCTGTTGGCTCTGGGCTGACGGGGGCTGGTTTGTGGCCTACTGTGACATCGCTGTTATCACACAGACTGGTTCCTGGGGGTGGAAGCCACATAAACCCACAGCTCCCTGAAACGCAGAAGCAGCCGTGTGCCCCAACCTCTGACGCTATGGGGTGCCTGTGGCACCCCACTCTTGCAGCTGCAGTGAGAGCACCGGGGACTACTGCTGGGTCCCCGGGACTGGGAGTCAGGGGAGGGCAGGGGTTGAGGTCTGCACTAAAGCCCCTAGAGGCCAGCCGCTGCTGACCGGCATGCGGTGGGCAGTTGTGTCCCCCCGCCACAGGGACCAGCATCAGGATGGAAGGGCACTGTGAGGTGGAGAGGCAAGCTGACCCGGGGACCTCAGCCTTATGTGACCTCGACACTGGGTCCGCCTTCCTGCCCCTGCCGCCGGCCGCATGGGGCTCACAGTGCAGGCGCAGGTCCTGCAGCCCAGGGCCCCTCAGAGGTCTGCGCCTGCTCCCAAGCTCTGTCTTGTCCATCGTGTCGCCCACTGTGCAAATGCGGCCATGGCACCAGGGTGTCAAGTCTGTGGTGGGAGCTAGAGTGATGCTACCACACGGGGATGAGGGGGCTTCCCTAGGAATAGGCTGGGGAAGCAGGAAAATTTCCTAGATCCCTGTGCAAGCTCGGTGTGGCGAGGTCAAGGCATGGGAACAGTATGCGCCGGGGAGGAGCTGCACTCGGGAAAACCACTGGCGGCTGCACAGCCCAGGCCTCCCGCGCAGGTGGGGTGTCTGGAAAGCGTGCACCTGCCACCTGGGGCTGGAGCGCAACCAGGCCGTGACATGCTGTCCTGGTGAGGCAGGGGGACACTTGTGGTTTCGAATCATTGGTGGCTCTTTTGATAGTGCAAAAGGAGTCAGGGGTTGGGAGGTCTACACAGCTCAGTGCACCTGGCCTTCCCAACCCGTGCAGCGCGGACATCTTGCGGATGAGAGTCCAGCCAGGATCGGGGTGAGGACACGGAGGATGTGGCCGCGGGCACGGTTTCTGGTTCCGCACTGCAGCTCACCTTCCACAGACCACCAAGGCTCGATTTTGGTGTGCAAGACTGAATATCCACGATACTTCTCCCCTTCCCATCTCAGCTCCACAAGGCCAGGGGCTGCTCCCGACCTCAGGATGAGGCAGCAGGCATGTGTGGCCCTGCCTGCCGCCTCCGAGGGCAGACGTTGGCACTTGTGAAACATCTAGTTTGTGCAGTATGAATCCCTGGTGTGGCTAAAACGGTGGCACAGCACAAGTAAACAGAGCTGCTGGCGAGCTGTGCGGGGCTCATTTCCCCTCTGTTCTCACGAAGGTGGGAACGGTGAAGGCAGTGCTGAAAGGGCACTCAGGGTGGGCCGGTGCCGAGCCCCACCTCCCGGGCTCACTGACCTTCAGCTCCCCCGTGGCCACCTTGAAGACCAGCTCCACCACGCAGCCCACGGCCAGGCGGGCCGCTCCTGACGAGTGCACCTCGTTCCAGATGGTGTCGCTGTCCACCTGCGGGGCGACACTTCAGTGAGGGCTGCATCCCCGTCGCGGCCACCCACCCCCCCAGCCCCAAGAGCCCCAGGACCACCCAGGGTCCTGTCTGCTCTACCGGAGGACAGCCCACACCCAGACATGCTGAGCAAAACGGAGCAGCACAGAGCGAGTTCGCCAAACAGAACACTGCTGCGGGCGGCCCAGTGTATGCGGGCGGCAACAGTGACGCCCGGCCGCCTATGCCCTCTCCCTGCTTTTCAGCTCCACTGAAGCTCAGTGTGTTACTAACAGTGAGCGAAAGGAGGTCCAGAGGAACCTTCCCGTTACCACTCCATGCTGTGCCGAGCTACCTGGGAGCACTGAACCGGCAAGAGTGGGCACGCAGACCAGGAGCGTGGACCCCGCCTGGCTCTGCTCCGCCAGGGCAGACAGCGCTGCCCCTCTGCTGTTCCCACTGCAAACAAGCATGGGTATGGCAGTTTCCACGCGTGTCTGGGCTCCTGCACTCACTCACGCGCACCAGGTGTTCTCAGAAGCTCTGGCTAACGGGGAAAGAAGACGAGGGGGCGTGGGCAGCCCACTCTACAGGGCGGTCTTCAGAGGGAGCCAGGGGCGGGGCCAGGCTGTCCCCACGTGTGCCCCCCCACTCTAAGGTACTAGGTGTAACCTGGTCCCTTAGCCAGACGTGCTTGGGACTGGTGCTCTCCCTGGGGTCCGGATGCTGAGCCACGGCAGTGCACTCAGCCCTGGCACACAGCACGCCTAGCAGCATGGAGCCCGAGGGCTGAGCGGAGCCCGGGCAGGAGGCCCAGTGCACTCGCTCCTCCCTCCCCAACCCAGGCCGCCTCGGCCCAGGACTCCTGGTTCTGCCCACCATGAGGCCGGCGAGCCCAGGAAGACACTGCCATTCCGTGGGTGAGGGTGGGGGCTTTCCAGGCAGTCTCGGCGCTTTGCCACGCTGGGTGACTGGGTACTGCCAAGGGCCGAAGACATCCCTGATGCGGTATTCGGCCAGGATCACTCTTCTGTGACCGAACCACATTCTTTAAATGGTTCCCAACGTGAGAAGAATGTTCTCCACTTGGCCCACTCTCCAAAGCACTAACGTTCAGCTTCCGAGGAATGGCCTTGGGCCTACCTACAACTATGGCGACTTTCACTGAAGTGGCCACAAGGATAGATGCTTCTGGGCTGGTCAGAACGGATTCGCTAAAGCCCATGGTAGCAGCCCTCGGTGTCAATGGCAGGGAGAGAGCCCGTGGTGGCCTTGTGCCCTGGGAGTGGCAATCCTGGGCAGGCCAGGTCGAGGCTGCACAGAGGACAGAGGTACCATGGCTGTCTACTCAGACGCTCTCCCTCCTCCGTGATGTGCTGGGCTTCAGGCTCAGTGGACCGCACTGGCCTGCCTGAAGCTCTCGCCCTGCTCACGGGACGCCGAGGGCTGCTGGCCCAGCTGATCCCCTTCTGCATGACCCAGGGGCTCATGAACTCGCAGGACACTGCAGAGAGGGACAGCCAGCCCCAGCTCCACTGTGGGCCCCAGGCAACCCTTCCCCACTGGGACAGGCAGGACCGCCCTGCTGTGCCGGCTGCAGCCATCGCCATGGGCGGCCTGCATCCTGGCCCAGGAGACACCTGGTGAGGCTCTGGCTCAGAGTACAGCTGGACAGACCCTGCTTCCCTCAGGACAATGATGTGGTCGTGAGCCAGGGAGCGGAGCCTCAGGCAGAGGAGTGGAAAGGCAGGGGGAGGTGGGGACGGGCCTCAGGGCGGCTCTCCTGGGGAGCTGTGGCATGTCAGGGTGAGCGCTGCCTTCAGCCGTGGTTGGCGTGTCGGCCAGCTACTCAGCAGAGCCCTCTGCTAGCCGCTTGGGCAGCTTTTGCCTTTGTGCCCCGTGAGAGTGCGGGATGGTTGGCCTGCGGTGCCTCGGGGCTGCACTGGACGCTCAGGAGGAGAAGCTTGATCAGCTGGTCTGGGCCTGCACGTAGCTTTCACTGGCGAACCCTAAACGCTGCCTTGCACAGGCTGTTGGCTGCACAGCAGTACAAATCCAAATCTTTTTAAGTCTAGCCAAAAATTTGCCCCAAATTAAGAGATTGCAGCCTATTTACAATATAAAATAACCCAGGAGGGATGGTGGTGGGATGACTAAACACCGTTTATTCTCTTTCTGATGGGATAATTTTCAAAGCAGCGATTTCTGTAGATGCAGGAAGAAAACAATTCTGTTTCATTTCCATAACGGAATCCAGACCTCGGCTTCACCCTGTGATCTGCTGTCGCACCCTCGCACAGCAGTCCGGGCTATGTTGGAGCTGCCTGCCTGCCGCCTCCGCCCACCTCCCCGTGACCGTCCCCGGTGCCGAGGAACAGTGGGGCTGGCAGCCTGGCCCAGAGGCAGCCAGGAGGACCTCGTGCTACCACGAGGTTTTGATCGTGGCGACCGGGCCCACCGTGCACAGATGGAGGGTGGGTGCCCGAACTGGGAAGGCCTGACTCGTGCTCCCCCGTCCACTTAGGACACGCCTGCTCCAGAAAAGTCCGCGACATTGCGTGGCCCATGTGCAATGCAGCCTCCACACTGAGAGCTTCGTGGGCAGCTCAGATGGGGGCTGAGTGCAGGATAAGCAGCAGGCTCCCAAGGCCACTGCCCGCCCACCCGAGCAGGGTACATAGCCCCACAGCCCGGAATCCCGGCCACCGTCTGCAGCCAGATCTGCCTGTGCCAGAGGCCCATCCCCAGGGAATGGGGATGAGTCAGGCCCATGCCCGACTCAGCAATCAAACACGGCTCGTGTGGCCTTTGAAGCCGCACATGGGCAGCCCCGCCCTCCAGACCACATGGAAAACACCTGACAGCAATCACTGACTTGGGCGGCCAGGAGAGCTGCTGGGACCACTGGGCCCCGAGCAGCAGGGCCTTACTTGCACGTTAAAGAGATACTCACCCCAACGCCGCCACAGGGGAGCCTGACAAACGCAGAGGTCAGCGAGCCTGTGGGGGGGGAGGAGAAGAGGGGTCAGGGAGGCTCTGAGATGCTCGGGCTCTCCAAGGGCACTCTGCATCTGTGGGACACACATGACCTCCTCGGACCAAGGGCCATTGGTGCATCTCCAGCACCCAGTGCACAGCCAAGTCCTGGGGGCCGGGATGCACAGCTGTGAGTGCCTGCCTCCAGCCGTGCTCTGCCCCCCTGAAAGGCCTTTCTACAGCGAACCCCACTTCTGAGACGCCAGACCCTGGCTCCTGGGGAGAGCTGCCTGCAGCCCCAATGCTTTCAAGTCTCTTGGCTCTCGCAGCATGCTGGCCTTGGGCCAGGGAAGCAGCTTAGCTTCTGAACAGGAGTGCCGAGGCCTGCACACAGCGTGGACACCCCGTGGTCTGAGTGATGAAGCATTCCTCCCCCGTCTAGGAGCTGGGCCGGAGCACAGCCGGCTGAGGAACCACAGGACTGCGCAGCGGCCCTCTGGTCTGGCCAGGACGCAGTGGCTGTGACGCCCTCACTGCCTGCTCATGGCACTCCTGCCTGCCATCTGCCCTGTGATGGGCACTCCCAGGTGGGTCGTGCCTTCCCTCAGTGTGACCCGGTGCTGGCGACATACAGGTCACCAGCCTCCACCTGCCTTCTGCGAGGACAAGAAAGGCGTCAGGGCTAGGGCGGGGGACTCCACACGGCCAGCCACGGTGAGGTCGGGACCCAGGCACCTGGAAATCACCCTGGGTGTGTGTGTGTGCATGCCCAACATCCCAGAAGGGAAGACAGCATGGCCACCCTCCATGGGGGCTGAAACAGAGCCCCAACAGAGGTATCCCAGGCTCCACCATGGCCCTGGCTCCAGGTGGGGTTACCGACCAGCTGCCGCCTCGGGGGTGGGGGTGGTCTCTGCCCCGCTGTCCATAGCCCTGGCTCCTGCCGATGCTTCTGAGGCCCAGGCTCCCGGGTCCACTTGGCTCAGCAGGCTCCTGGACACAGCTTGGGCCCTCATGGGGCCCTGCCTGCTGCTGAGAGGCCCCACTCCTGCCTGCCGCAGACACTAGCCTGCTCTGGCTGCCTGTGCACCAGCCAGCTGGTGCCACAGAAGGGTGCAGGCCTGGATCCACGGGGGCCATGACTGATGCATGGCTGGATATGGCCAGCGAGCAATGCTGTTGTGGACGACAGCGACGCTCAGTCTCACGGTCTCGGGGAGGGTGACTCACGAGGAGGTTCACTGGGCTTGTGCCTGGTGAACCAGGACCAAGTGTGCGTCCCAGTGTCCCCTAGCCAGGCCCTGCATTGGGCCCAGACCTGAGGCTCAGGCCCTCCTGCTCTGTGGAGGCCACGGGTCTGCGGGGGCTGGAGGCTCAGGGCTCGCCCTCTTCGCCCCAGGAGAGCCGTGTCCACAACCCAAGGCTCGAAGGGCTGCTATGCCAGGGGGGTGCGAGGCAGGAGGGTGGCTCCGGCAGACTCTCCAGAAGGGCTCGTGCTTCTAGACACCTCCCAGAGAGAGGGAAAAAGACTTGCAGATGAGAGAGACCGCCGGGTGGGGGGCACGGGCGCCTGCTTGGGCTTGGCAGCTGCTCCAGTCTCACCCAGCATCCGAGGTGCTCGAGGGAGGCGTGCTGCGTCCAAACAGGTCTGGGCACAGGGCTGTTCGCGACGTGGCCTGCTCCTGCCTGGCTCCCCCAGAACTGAGCTGAGGGGGCAGCGGCCGGCAAGCCCCAGCCCTGCGCTCTCAGCAGGTCAGTACAGCCTAGACTGCCAGTCTCAGCGCTGACCCCGGCTTCCGAGGGTCGTGGCACCACTGGGGTCTCCCTGTGCGCTATCTGAAATGCTGGGCTCTCAGTGGCACCAGGGCCTGCTTCTCCTGGCCTTGGTGACACTTCCACATGGAGCCCGGGACACAGAACACATCGGTGACAGGCTTCTGGCTGGAGCCACGGGGCTGCTGACCCTTTCCCCAGAGGCTGGGCCATGCCTGCCCCGCTCTCCTGCATCTGCGGTGACGCGGGGCCCTGTCTGTGGAAGGGCCCGGCCGTGCAGGGAGGGTACACTGCACAGGGCCTGCCTGGCTGGACGCCATGGGACTGTGGGGGTGTAGGAGGCCACAGGCTGGTGGAGCAAGGCTACAGTGCGAACGGGAGCACAGGAAGTGCCGACGCCGCTGCCCAGTGTCCTAGCACCTACTGCCCACCCACTCCTTCTCACTGCCCGGGGAGGGGCGGCAGCCTAGGGCTGGGCTGAAACTGGCCTGACGGGGTCTCCCCAGCCCTGTGCTCCACTCTCGGCAGCATGGGGGTGCGCACGGCTCATCCTCAGTGACCACATGGCCTCACAGATGCACACTGTGCCTGCATGGGAGCAGCCACGAAAGCTCTGCGAGACTGGCTTTCTTCCCGGCTGTGGCCGATGGGGCCCACACCGATCACGTGGACCAGCACCGACACTTGGGTCTTGCTCGCCGTCCCCCAGCAGAGGCTGGGTCAGGGTGGGGAAGGGGTACGACGCTTCCCAGCACTCACGCAGAGCCCAGGCCCGGGGTCACAGAGCACGGAGCTTTCACCAGGGACCTGTTTCGTCAGTCCCGAGAAGTCCCTGCCCACTCAGAGCTAGGCCCCGGGGACTAGGATGTGGGCATAGTTACGTGCCAGGAAGGACCAGCCTGGCCTGTCTGCTCAAGCAGGTTGGGTGCTGGTGCCCACAGTGGGCAGGGGGCCTAGCCCTCTCTTGTAACCACTGCTGCTCCTCTGTGGAGCCTTCCTGCCCTGTCCCCTGGGCATCGCTGGCAGGGCTAGCTCGCGAGGGGCCCTACAGGCCAGGCCCTCACTCTGCTGCTGCCAGGCTGGGCCCGTCGTGCAGTGCCTCAGCTGCCACGGCCCAGACTCCCAGCCTAGAAGGCCGGAGCTGCCCCAGCTCCCAGCTCAGTTCAACGCGCTCATCGTGTGGCCATTCATCCCATCGGAGAGAACTCCGGGGCCTCCCCGTGTGGGGAGATGTCCAGGGGAAGGGAGCCGGCACAGTGTGCTCAGGCCCAGCGGGTCGTGTCGGCGGGATCTCAGGCCATCACCGACTGTGACTGCGCCCGACACCAGGCTGGTGGCAGCCGGGCTCCTGTCGGAATTTAAAGCCAGAACTCTGGAGCCGGGGAAGGCCGGACTAGGGCCCACAGCCATGTGTACACACCTGCAAAGATGCAGCCTAGCAGGAAGGAGATGGGACAGGGTGGTCCGCGACGCCACGGATGTGCATCAGACATGCACACGAAGCCACAGGCCATGCGCCAAGCCGGGCAACGGCGCGGTTGGTAGTGAGAGAAGCCCAAGTGTGCTGAAAGCTGCCGCAGGGAGGGTGGGCTGAGGGCGTGGGAAGCCATTCCAACACCGAGGCCAACTGATGGGGCGAGCGAGGGGTCTTCGCAGACAGCTGGCTGTGAGCCGAGGGGCAGGCCCCAGGGCCCAGCATGCCCGCAGGAAGCCCAACCCTGGGACTTGGGGTGGCCAACCACTGGCCCCTCGGAGGCAGGCCTCCACATGCTGACGATGGTGCAGGTGCCTGGCATTCTGCAGAGAAAGGGATGGGGTGGACGGAGCTGCTACCCTGTTCAGGCCGATTCCCAGACACGAGATCACCCAGCAGTTCCCAAGGCATGGGGCCTCCTGGCCAAGGTCTGCTCCCGCGGCAGCTGCCAAGGGCTACGTGGGAAGTGGTGGCGTTTCCTCTGAGGCCTGGAGAATCGCCTGCTTCTGCCGCCGTGCCCCGCCCTACCCTGGGCCACGGCTGGCTGGACCTTCAGACTCCCTTTCTTGGGTTCCGCAGGTGCTCTCCGCCCCTCCTGCCACAGCTCTGCAGGTCCTGCTGGGATGTGTAGGGCTCTGCCTGCACTGTGCCCCTGCCTGCCCCGCCTCTAGGCTGCCATGAGCCCTTGTGGAGGACACCTGCCTGGCAGCTAGCTGCTTCCTCATCTGCTGAGACCCCGTCCTCTCTGCCCGTCTCCCTGAGCCCACTCCACAAGCCCCGGGGAGGGGCCTGCGTACCGGGCGTCCCCACATGGCTCAGATACGGGCCATCTTTTGGGGTGCATGTACAGCCTAGGCACACGGAGCACAGCAGAGTACAGGCAGAGCTTCATCGTAAGCCCCTTGCTCACATGGGATAGCACCGCCCCCGGCCCAGGGGTCCTGGGGGATGTGCCCCTCCTGTGCATGCCTCAACCAGGGCGGCCAGGCAGACTTAGCTGTGTGGCTGTGTGAACGTGGGGTAAGATATGCTGTGAGGGGCGGAGCCTCGGCCGCACCACAGCTCGGGGTGTGCGTCAGGGCACCTGGGGACAGGCACCTAGCGAGGAGGACTCGGTCTCGGGCCTGCAGGCCTGCCCCATGCCTGGGTGGGCAATGTGGACCACTGTGGGGAGGGACCCAGGCAGCAGGCCCAGAGGGCGGGGTAGACGGGCAACAGTCCAAGAGGACCCGGAAGGCCCCTTTCTCCAGGAGAGCAGACCATGGGGATGGGGTCCATGCACAGGGACCAGAGGCCTCCATCATCCTCAACCCAGCCCCAGTCTAACTCTGCACAAGCCCCTGCCCTGGCCCAGCGTCTCTGCAGTGCTGGGTCTGGCAAGTGGGCAACACGGTGCCTGGCCTGGCCAGCAGTCCTCTTCCTTTCAGCCTGGGGAGCCCCGCAAAGTTGCCCACACCTGTTCCCCCGGCTGAACACCTTGTTTTCTGGAAAGGCCCGTCTTACTTCAGACAGCAGGGCTCCAGAAGCAGCACGCGTAGCCTGCCTTGGCCAGCCCGGTGTCCCCGCAGCCCCACCCTTCCCCCCCATCCCCGGGCACCTGTAACATCTGGGACTGAGGACGTCCTGGGCGAGCCAAGGTGCGTGGGGAAGGCGGTGAGGGGTGAGCGAGCGAAGAGATAAACGGGAAAATGAGCACGTGAGACTGAGTAACGGCATGAAGCCATGCCATGTGCAGCCCGTGTGGCTCGGTGCCCTGCACAGGCCTGGCACTGCGAGGATCCCTTCCTCCCTCCCTCAGCCTTCTGCAGTCTGGCCCGCAAGATGCAGAAACTAGCCAGGCCCAGCTGCCCTGCCTTGGACCACAGCCCAGAGCCTGTGATTGCCAGGCGCTTCTCGCTGCCTCCTTCAGGCAGACCTAGCTCCCCAAGGGCAGAGGCAGGGAGTTGAGGCAGGAACCCGATGGCTGGTGACTCATCTGGCTTGTGGTGGCTGGGGGGCTTGCAAGGAAATGACCTGAAAAGAAGCCCGTGGGCCCCATCCTAGGCCTGGGTTCCATGCCCAGAAAGCCCTCCAGGCCCTGCAGAGCTGACCTGAGTCCAACAGACCCTGCTGCAGATCCCTTTGCGGGGACTGTCACACCTCCCGGTAGGGGTGTCAGAGCGCCCTGGGGCCCGGCTCTGCCACGGCCTCTCGTGCGCCCACTCCTGTGGGGCTGCTGCCGGACCAGCAGCCAGTGCCTCCCTTCTGCCCCAGTGCCGACGCCCGAGGCCGGCGTGCTCTCCATGGGGCTCTGTGCCATGGCCTGCCGAGCCTAAGGCTGAAACCAAACGACCCCGGAGCACAGGAGTGAGGCCGGGCCATGCGGGGGCAGCGGAGCTCTGACAACCTCTAGGATCTACTCCAGATTCGTCCAAACCAGCAGTTCTTAGCCTACCTCCTGGACATGCTGGCCTCACAGCACGCACGCGTAGAAAAACAAGGGCTCATTGACAGAGCTCAGTGAGGCCTTCTCTGCTGGCCCCTTCACCTCACGACGGGGCAGGGACAGCATGGACAAGGCTGCCCCTGCCCTGCTGGCCGCACAGAGCCTGGGGGCGATACGTATCCCACAGCTGTCCAGCCAGGGGCCAGGGTCTGGAGACACCCCCTTGGCAACTTTGAAGCCAACACGGGAGGAAAGGAAGGTCTCGAAATACCTAGAAGTTTCTTACTGTCCAGTTTCTGCCTGTTGAGGGGGTTGGTGCCGTAGAGGAGGGTGTGGGCCTCTGAGTGCACGGTCTGCAGCTCCTCCAGGGTGGCCTTGCGTCCCCGAATGCACTGCGGGAGAGACACGGAGTCACACTGGGCACCGCGGCCTTGGTGACTGCGGACGGTCGTTGCCTCTGGACCTGCCCAGAGGAAACTCGGTTTGATATCAAGGATGAGATTACTGTGTTATTGCAAAAGAAAAAGGGAACCCCACCCCGCACAATGTTTAAAATGCTCGCATACTACTTTGGAGGGTGTACACTTTAATTATGGCTCTGGAAAGCTCTGGAAGAGATTCCAGCCTCAGGGTAATGTGACCCCTCACTGTGGCCAGATGCTCGGGCCTTCCTCCTGCCACGGTCTGGGCAGATCATGGAGGTGGCCTGCCAAGGGCGGGCAGGAAGAGGCGCTCCGCTCGTGTTTGGGGAGCCAGAACCCCTAACTCCATGGAGCTGCCTCCCCCATAAGCTGAGGAGGCTGAAAGCTGAGCCATCATGCCGGCCCCCTTGGGACAGCCTGCATTCACACCACGATTCCTGGGTTATTTCCAGATTCCCCCGGAAATTCCCAGTAAAGTGACTACCACTGTCGGGCTGTGCTATCATGGCCCTTTGAGAGTGACGGCTGGCCCTCATCCCAGGCGCACGGGGTCGCCGCGG